GGATATGACTTATTCTGCACCCATTTCGGTCGATATTGAATACACTCGTGGCAGTCAGCGTGTTTTGAGGAATGGTCTTGTAATCGGCAAAATGCCTGTCATGCTACGTTCCAGTAAATGTGTTTTAAAAAATATGGTAGTTCTATCTTTTTTTCACGGAATTTGCAAGATTTGAATTTTAGAAATTTAGTCATTACCAGATTTTCATTTTTTGGAGTCTGCCGAAAAATTATTTTAATTAAATTGAAAAAAAGTTTATTAAGAATGAGAGTGAACTTGCACATGTCCAAGAATGTCCGTATGATCCGGGTGGTTATTTCATCATCCGTGGATCGGAAAAAGTGGTTCTCATTCAAGAACAGCTTTCGAAGAATCGTATCATGATTGGAAGAAACAGCAAAAAAGAGCTACAGTGTGAAGTGCGCTGGATTTTTTACATTAGTTCATATCATGATTCCCGTTCATTTGTTATACTTTATATTTTTCAAATTACTAAACTCTAAAACACAAATCCAACATTTGAATAGTCCACCGCCAGTGTATTTTAGCTATTTTTATTTGAAAATTCACTCATATTTGTTACTGTAAGTGTATTCGAACTTCGAAGTCTCAAATTATTGTCAGCTACCTTTTCTTATTATTTTAACTCCAGCTCTTTTTTCGCCTTATTCCCTTTCCTTTTTCTTTTCAAATAATAGTAATAATAGTCTCTTGTAACTTGAAAATTTGTTCGGTTCAACGTATATAAACTATACTTTCAGATACTTAGTTCTACACAGGAACGTAAAAGTAAAACATACATTGCTAGTAAGAAGCAACGATATTACGTTCGTCACAACCAGCTTTCTGACGACGTACCAGTAGCCATTGTTTTTAAGGTAAAAGTTCAAACAGAATATGAATTGCGAAATCTTCTCTAAAAAGTGATACGCAACACGAATACATGCATCATCGACTACAATCGGCTGTGCACGAAACAAGTTGGACATGTCAAAGGTAAAAAAAGAAGTGTGCTAAAGCAGTTACAAGATTAAATTACAAGGATCAAATCATTGTTTAATAAAAATGATATTTTACGTGGAGAAATATGATTTGGCGATTCTTTTGTAAATTTATTAAAATTTAGATTATTTGCTTTCTTTATACTGGAGTAAAGATTGTAAGCATTAAGAAAAAAAATGAAATATCAGTTTTATTAAATAATAATTTGATTCTTATGATTTAGTCCTGTAATTGTTTTAGCGCATGTTTTTCCCCTTTGATGCATTCGACTTGTTTCGTATAGTGCCAGTTGTCGCCGATGATGCATGTATTCGTGTTGCACGTCGTTTTTTTGAATAAATTTTGCAATTCATGCTTCTTGCTTTAGTTTTAAAAGACTTTATGGTATTTTTGGCTACAGTAAACTTGTCTATCTGGGGTTTCAGGCATTTAGAATCTTTTATGAAACTGGCTGTTACTTTAGGCGATGGGATTCGAATCGGACCATGATATCGTTTCAGCAGTTGGTTTGGAGGAGAAATTCGTTGCTGCAATGGCTCCATCAATTGAGGAATGTGCAAGTCATCAAATTGTAACACAAGAAGGTGCACTGCAATATATAGCTTCAAAGGTTCCTTTTTCGAAAATATTGAAATTTCCTTTTTCAAAAGATAGAATAACAGTTTAATTCTTCCATATTAATCCATCCAATGGTTTCCATTATGTAGTTATTTTGTTTTTCAGGTTAAAATGCGCAAATTTGGGCCATTTGCTTCTGGTACGTCATCAACACTACCACGTGAACATGAAGCCATTGATTTCTTATCAAATTTAATGATTGCACATGTCCCATGTCCGGACGGGAATATGAAAATGAAAGCCATTTATTTGGGATTAATGATTAGAAGGTATGAAGGTTGGACCAAGTTTCTTGAATCCTTTTCTTTCATAATTTCTTTGGTATTGTTCTCGTATGTTAAAATTTCCACGTTTTTTGAAATATTCCCTCACCAGTGTATAAGATGTCGAGCTGCGTTTCGAAATTCAGCTTCTTTTAAAGAAGTTGTCAACTTTTTCTTGTGTGGGCATATAAGAAAGCATTCAGCATGGATTTTGTATGTGTATCAAATAAGGAAAACAGTTTGAAATGATATTTATCATCCCTTCATGCTTTTTCAGGTTAATGCAAGCGGAAGTGGGTGACACTGAATGTGACGATCGTGATTTCTACGGAAATAAGCGCTTAGAGCTGGCGGGCTCGTTACTTGCATTGTTATTTGAGGATGTTTTCAAGAGGTGCTGTTAGTACTTTCTAAATTTATAATTTTATTCTGTGATTGTTTAAGGAATTAAGCATTTCAAATCTAACGGCTCATGGAAAAATTTCAAGGAGATCAAGTAACTGAGAACTATTTAAACAAGAGCATTTTTCAGATTCAATTCTGAATTGAAAAGAATTGCTGATAACAGTTTGGGCAAAACATTGGCTGCTCCACTTGATATAGTTAAACATATGCGTCAGGTTCATTTCTCCTGGATTTCTTTTTTTAAATTGCATATTATCAGTAGAAGCACTCAAATCTGCTGCATATGTGATGATATGTTTAGTTTTTATCTTTGACAGCATCATGAGGTATATATCAGGACCTAATAACAAATGCATTGGTCGATGCTTTAGCAACTGGAAATTGGACGATCAAACGATTTAAAATGGAAAGACAAGGAGTAACGCAGGTTTTTTTTTCGCACTTTTTATATCACAATTTTTGAAATTTTTACATTAGGATTTAAAGATTTGCATATTTACAGGTTTTATCACGTCTTTCATATATATCTGTGTTAGGCATGATGACTCGAATCAATTCAACTTTTGAGAAAACAAGGAAAGTAAGTTTTAAAGCATTACTCAGCATTTTAGATAGTGAAAATTTGGTAAACGAGATAAGCTGCAAGAGATGGCGGCTTCATTGTTTATCTTATCCAAATCGAATTGGTTAATGAGTCTAAAACTATGTTGAGCACTGGATATTTTTTCACTTTTTAATCAATTTTAGGTTTCTGGACCGCGCTCCTTGCAACCTTCTCAGTGGGGAATGTTATGTCCATCCGATACACCAGAAGGAGAGTCTTGCGGTCTTGTCAAAAATTTGGCTCTCATTAGTCATATAACCACAGATAGCGATGAAGAAGTTTGTTAACATTCTACACTTTTTCAAATGATGTTTTTAAAGAAATATTTACAAAGTAATTCGGTTAACTATTTTAAAAGCATGTTTGCAGCCTGTAATTCGTTTGCTGTACAATTCGGGTGTTGAGGATGTTAAATCTCTCCATTTTTCTGCTATTCATAGTCCGTAAGTTTTCTCGTTGAAAAGCTTTTGAATTCTACTGCTGTAAAATGCACAACTAAGATCATCTTCGGACTATGAGATGGAAAATGGGAAATTTTGATGGTTTCTGGTTTTTTCAGAGTATATCATATTGTTTTTCTAAACGGTGTAATCGTTGGTTTAACAATCGATCCGCAGCGAATAGTTTCAACGATAAGGGCTGTTCGAAGACATGGTTTACTCAATGAATTCGTTTCTGTATCCACAAATGCCGCTCAACGATCAGTTTATATAGCCAGTGATGGTGGACGTCTTTGTCGACCTTACATTATTGTAAAAAATGGCGTACCACAAGTTACACAAGAGCATATTGAGGTGATTAGGATTATGGATAAAGTAACTGGGACAAAATATCAATGTAAATAAAAGATCTTTTGGAATTCGAGCTCATGTGTGTAGGGGTTTTACTTGTTTCAGCAGTGAAATATTAGAGATGTAAATTTCTATACATGGTTCTTTGAAAATCCGAAATTTGCTAACATTTCCGTTCTTCATTCTTATAATTATGAAATCATGCCACAACATTTCAGAAACTTCTTACAGGAGCTCAAAAAAGGATGTCGTATTTTCGAAGATTTTGTCGATGATGGCTTGATTGAATACTTGGATGTCAATGAAATGAATGATGCGTCAATTGCCGTTTATGAAAATCAAATCAAGCCTAATACAACACATTTAGAGGTTAACGTTTTTCTATTCTCGAAATTTTCAGTGCTTTCTTGTCGTTGGAGTTCTAAGCATTTATTATCCTCTTTCCAGTTGTAAGAGGCAGAAACTAGAACTACGTATATGACTTGAAAGTAAGAAAATATGTAAAATAAGTGAGAATCAAGAGATTCACATCACATTTGATTGTAACAGTATTTTATATAGTTTGATTTTTACTAATACTAATTTGAATTTTGGAAATTTAATATTTCAAGATAATGATTTTAGATAGAACCTTTCACACTGCTTGGTGTGTGTGCTGGCCTGATTCCTTACCCGCATCATAATCAGAGTCCAAGAAATACCTATCAGTGTGCTATGGGTAAGCAAGCTATGGGTACAATTGGATATAATCAGCAGAAACGTATCGATTCACTCATGTATCTACTAGTTTACCCACAGCGACCTCTCGTTAAAACTAAGGTTTTTTTCCCTCCGTATTCGTCCCAACAGCATATCATACAACTAACTTTCTAATTATTGATTAGTCTTTCAGACTATCGAATTCTGTAACTTCGAAAAACTGCCAGCTGGACAGAATGCTGTCATTGCAGTAATGTCTTACAGTGGCTACGATATTGAGGATGCACTTGTGCTGAATAAAGCTTCTCTTGACAGAGGTCAGCTAGCACTAACAGGCATTTTTTTAAAAAAAGCTATGTTTTTAGATTTCATAGCGTTAATTTTATTGCAAGTAACAAAAATTTAAACATTCAACTGATTTTCTAGATAATCTGAATTTATTTCCATTAGTTTTTTCTCCTTGTTACTGACCAGTCTTTGCTGTCTATTCGTTTAAAAATTTCTGGAAATTTCGATTTTTTTTAAATCTCGAATTATTTTAGGCTATGGTCGTTGTCTTGTTTACAAACATGCGAAAGCAACTGCTAGGAAATACCCCAATCAAACATTCGATCGTCTTATGGGACCAACTGTTGAAGCAACAACGCGAAAACCCATTTACAAACATCAAGTATTGGACCAAGAGGGTATCGTATATGTTGGTGCATGTATACATTCCAAACAGGTTTTAGTTTCTCCAGATTTTAATGAATTTGGATGTAAAGTTATGACTTCTCACAAATAACTGTTATAAATCAATGTTTTAGTTGCTCCTTAAACTTAGCAAGTTTTAAAGGTAATGATCAATAAACACATGCCAGTTGTTAGTACGGAAGCTGGTGCCACCACATCTTCGAACAATGATGGAACAAATGTTAGTAGCCATGAAGTAGAATACAAAGATGTTTCGGTTGTTTATCGTAACCCTGTACCATCATATGCAGAACGTGTCCTGTTGACATATAACGAGGATGATGCTCATTTGATCAAAGTACTATTGCGACAAACGAGGTATAGTTTTAGTTTTTTTTTCGTAAAAACGTTTTTTAGCCTCGATTTTCATACATTTCATGTTTTCGACATTTCTTTGATTTCGAAAGCATAATGAAATTGAAAGCTGTATGCAGAAGACCTGAATTGGGCGATAAATTTAGCAGCAGACATGGGCAGAAAGGTGTATGTGGTTTGATAGCACAACAGGTTTGAGTTTAATTGATTTGAAAAGTTTCTTTAAAATGTAAAAGTTCAATGTCTTCAAGAAATTTTCTGCTCTTTAAGTTGATCATCCAACTTCGATCCCAAATTCCATCAAGTTTATGCTCGGAATTCCAGAATCTCGTTCAAGCTGAATATTTTTTTTAATTTACTATGAGAATCCAGAATTATTTCTGAATCCACTTTTGGACATCAAAAGTAAAAGTAAAGAAATGACGGTTTTGAATTCGGTAGTTCACCTATAATTTCTTTTCAATTCTTTAAAGAGTTAATCTTCAGGAAGATATGCCTTTCAACGACTTGGGTATGTGTCCAGATATGATTATGAACCCGCATGGTTATCCAAGTCGTATGACTGTTGGAAAACTGATGGAATTGTTAAGTGGGAAAAATGCGGTTCTTTCTGGCAAATTCCATTACGGAACTGCTTTTGGTGGTGATCAGGTAAGACTTTTACAGGCTTATTTTACAAAATCGGAATGAGGAGCTGCGAAATCGCACAGGTATATTCGTTTTGCAATATTTGAAAATTTTATTGCTATAAATACTTTTGTAAATACTTAATGCAGCAAATCTAATATATTTATGCAATTTTAGATGATTAATTTTCTCTAAACTTCTGGTTATTCCTTGTAGTTTTTAATTTTTTATAAACTTTATAAAACTAATAAGGTTGATGTTGTCTGCGAAGAGCTAGCAGCACGAGGATTCAATTATCTTGGAAAAGATATGTTAACATCCGGAATAACTGGCCAGCAGCTTTGTGCATATATTTATTTCGGTCCTATTTATTATCAGAAGTTGAAACATATGGTTCTGGATAAAATGCATGCAAGAGCTAGAGGACCACGGTAATATTTATTTCCAGAATATAATCAAGACTTATGAGAAAAATGTTCAAATTTGCGAAGGATGTTCAAAAAAAACGTCAAAAGATTTTTCACAAATCACAGAAAATCCTAGGGAACTGTTACGTGAACAGTCTCAAAATTTCGAAATATATTGTAGAGCAGTGCTAACGCGTCAACCAACCGAGGGGAGAGCACGTGATGGTGGCTTACGACTGGGTGAAATGGAAAGGGATTGTTTGATTGCTTATGGTGCAAGTATGTTGTTGATGGAAAGACTAATGGTTTCATCGGATGAATTCAAAGTACGACATTTTCTGTGGATTTAAGATTATTTCGAAAAGCACACTAGAGGGAGTGAAATCCATAGGCTTTAATTATCGAACGTGTGCTTTTTCGAAAGTTAATCATTAAATTTAAAGCTGTCGGATCATTTTTTCAAAGCCTAGATCTGAGACAGTAAAATCCTACCAATACTAAAAATCTTGTTTACTTAATCCTAGAATTTAGTTGACTCACAAATTTCCATCAAGTCATACTGGATTCACAGTTAAGTTCATGATATTCACGATCTTCAGTTTATCTGCCGAGTGATTGCGGGAAAAATTTCACTTTTATCTACAATTATTGTTGGTAAATAGTTATGCATAGTAGTAGAGGTCTGACTTGTAAGGTGATTGGGAATTCAATTTCAACACTTAGCTTTTGACGTCTGACATTAAAAATTCTGAAATCTTTTTGCAGGTGGATGTTTGTTCGCAGTGTGGTTTGATTGGTTACAAAGGTTGGTGTCAAATGTGCCGTTCTTCGCGAACTATGGCAACCATTAAAATTCCATACGCTTGCAAATTACTCTTCCAGGAATTGCAATCCATGAATATTGTGCCAAAAATCAGCTTATCTAAGTATACTGATTGACTCCCCGGTCGGTATGAGAGCACGAAGCAGGTTCGACTTAGAATTTCTGGGTTGAATTCAAAAGTAAACATATTCCGTCCTACAAGAATTAGATTTGATTTTTCTAAGTCTCGATTTTTCAGCGTGAGCTATAAGTTTGTTCCTATCCATTGCTCTATTGACATCGTTTTTGGAAAAGTATTAACTTAGATTTAATATTGAAAACCATGTAAGATGCCGACCGGAGATACCGTATACTGTTGAGTCAAGACAACTGTCGTTATCTTTACAGCCACCTTTCGTCCTACTAAATCTAAAACTTTCTGTTACGGGTTACTGTTACGGATTCCTATATTTTGTTGAAATATTTAAGTTTTCAGTAAATTTAAAATTCACCATACTCAAACAGCACCTATTCTTTGTCAAATACCGGTCATCAGCTGACGAGAAATGATAGGTGCTTGCATTCCAGAAAAAATAGATTTCATGCATTCCAGAAAACTTTTGAATCTGTAGGAAGAAAGAGCATTCAGAAAAACAACCAGCAACCATATGATTACTTCAGTCAAACACATCGAAGTGCATCACATGCTGAATCCCAAGCTATTAGTTTATGTGCGTTAAATCCCGAACTGAATAATACTAATAACATTTGCAATTACAAGCAAATATAAAACACAACAGTACGAAGCAAAAATTGCTGGAAGAATAGGTCAGGCAGGAATAATAATAATACAACAAAAGATCACATCACACCTTAAGGAAGGTTTGAGTAGCCAACACTATATGGGATTTCCTGACAGAAACGGGAAGTGGTCGTCGAGTCAGTCCTGTCTTCAGCACAATATTTAATATGAGAAAAGTACTGGAAGACGAAGATGTATCATCCGGTAATGAAATTCTTCTGTAAACAGTAGTGGCAACAGCAAATTACGCCGATGGTAACTTATAATACTTGGTAAGAGATTGATGAGCAAATCCTTCCGTAGTGGATGAACTTTAACTTGAGCAGCGACTTCGTTCTCCAATCACATTTCATCTTGCATCATTTTATCCTTCACACACACAAACACCGATAATTGATGACAGAAATGTAGTTGAAGACCGGTATCGTAACCTATTCATTATTACACCATAAACCATCTACGAAAGTCTACAAACCTTCATGAGTTTGAAAGTTGCGTTTCGCAAATAGTACGCAATCTGAGATATGCTTCTCACAAAATGAAAATTTCACACAAACGAAATGCGAATTTCGATCAAAAAGCTTCTGAGGACAATGTATTTACTACATTTATTAGAATTATAAAAGTATAAAGCCAAATCGATGAAAAAGCATTACAAATTGAATAAGACGTAATCCAAAGTACTAGAACCTTTCTCAAGAATGAGAACAGTTTCAATAAATTTAAAAGTGCGGAAATGGCAGCCCAAAAATACTTGTCCGACTTTTCTTGAAAGAATCCTGAACATATCTTGTATACCTGACTCCGTTTTTGATCATAGTCCCTTTTTATTTCAAAACGCGCAGTGCTGTAATAATGGTATCCTTTTTCTAAAACTTTCGGACGAAACTTATCAGTTGTGTTAACCTATGAGATACTAGACTTATCAAGATGAAATAAGCCTAATACTTCTTCCTTGCACCTACAGTTAAGGTAAGAACAGTTACCAGCGCAATCGATGGTAATAAATGGAAGTCGAAGTTATATTTAGAGGCTGTAAATATAGCTTTATTTTAACATAGAGAAGGTCAGTATTTTGCCTCACTTACGTTGTGAATAACAATTCTCAATAAAAGAATTTTTGTACTTTTAATATAAACACATCTACGGAAGGATACATGAAAAGCATAAAAATTCGATTTGCTAAACAAATTACATTGTGAATTATACAAAAATATTATTGTCCTGGACGTGAACATTCCCAGCTCTGCTTTCGTATTTATACTTTTTTACAGTATTCAAAATACATGTTTATCAGTTATCTTTTTACAGTATTTTAATTAATAGCTGTTTAAATGATTTGGTAAGACCATTAAAATCTGAGTGACGGCCATAAGCATATTTTTAAATTTCCATCGATAGAATAACCGAACAAACTTGGAATTCTTTCATCCCAAAAACAGCTTTCATTCGTCTCAGTTTCCCATGCCATCTTCAATCAGATGTGATGTTTCATCATCAGCTTTCCTCTAGAATAAGGAAATGTACAAATCAACTGGTCATTTCTAACCATCTCAAAATTGACCTGTTCCTAAATAGCTCCTCACTTTCCGAAATTCTTTAATTTTTCAATTTTCCTCTCACTTTACTGAATCAAAAGGACAGATTTCCGTATTGAAAAGTTCCACTGTCACTAAAATCATTTGAATTTCAACAAAACATTATCCTCTTGAGAGTAAACATTTTTCAAAAAAATGTTTTGAACCACAATACTACGCTTCTAAAAACTGACAAAGTTCTGCAAGATTAACAGATATTTGCCAAAAAAAAAAAAAAAACAACTTACCCCCAAGTAAATATTTCTCAACGAGATTATCAGGAAAACTATCCAAAGAAGCAAACCAGCACCCACCAGCGAAATACCAAGAATGCGTGCCTGAAGTACAATTATGGAATAACAAATTATATGGCATTTT